AATTGTGATTCAACGTACAACAGCAACAGGCATGTTGCAGTTCATATTGGCATTCAATGTATAATGTAATGTATAAAACACAGTGAGACTTCAGAAATCTAATATATATATATATATATATATATATATATATATATATATATATATATATATAAAGTTATAGATGCAGTTTATGAAGACTTTAAGAATACTGAGGCAGTGTCATATAAATTGGACCTTGATCAACATCTTCTTCTTCTTCTTCTTCCTCTTCCTCTCCTTCAGATATCACATTCTTTGTGTAAATGTCTGGTCTCTTTGCTTTTTCAAAGCGGGCAGAAACAGATTTCAGGAAAGAATCGGCACCAGGATTGGGGTAGACCGATATAAATCTTATAGCAACACGTAACCTGATGCTCTTAAGCACATTAGAGGCGAACCACCCGGTTTGACACTGTAAACCAAATCGTTTCTAGGCATTAAGAGATTGATCAACTTAATCGTGCAAACATTTCAGTATTACAATGTCAATGCTACATACACTGCATGTGGTTTTCTTTGGGGGTTTTTTGATCTCTTCTTGAATGTAATCGTCAACAAGTTCAAAAAGCTGCAATGATGTTTGGCACTTAGAAGGGAAAACTTTAAATGAGCATATATCCTTCCATCGAAGCTTCACTCTGTAGAAAAAGAAAGTGCAGCATAACACCCGACCACTATTATTCACAATCCACGAAAGAAAGTAAAATATTCCACATTAGATCAACTAAAGAAGAGCATAATAAGTTATGAAAAGCTCAACCTGAAACCAGATTACATATTCTGCCTGGTTAGGAAACATAACTGACAGATTATACAGAAATCTATAAAAGAAGCTAGAAGAGCTTGCAAGATTCAGATTGATAACCTTCATATTCCATTGTCCATATCTGAACCATTTTTATCTGGATTATACAAATCCTTTAAGTTATTTACCAGTTCAAAAGCGCTTAAGATCAAGTGTAAAAGATTGTTTTATGGGAAATAGAGAGTGCTTAGAATTCCAAGTGACAACTGACAAGTTTCAGACCATAGAGAAGCAATTAACAAAGTACCCGGATTCTGCTTGAGCCTCACAGTATCTTTGTAATGATGGCTGGGAAACTCGAAAATCTACAGATTGGTATCTGTTAAAGCAGACTCCCAAGTAAGTATATCACCATTTTGAGTTTAAACTTTAAAGTGACAGCCACTGAGCTAACTCAAGAAGAAATTAAAAGTTGAAAAATCAAATACTAGTACGTCATCTGGGGAAGAACTCACATGCGAGACTCGGGGTCTGTGCGAGGATCATATCCTTTTCTTATCCACAACCTACGAAATGGTCCTTGAGAAAAGTAATATGCTTCTCTAAAAAGAAGCCTGCAAGACACAAAATCAGAAACAGACTGAGCCCTGAAACTAATAATTTTCCCTAATTGGTATTTAATGTTTTTAACCTTGGTGACTAACAACACAACATAACAAGGGAAACCACCTTTTCAGCATGCCTTCTCTCAATTCTATCCCTTTCTCAAGTAAGAGTTCAGTCAATGACTCTTTTGCCCATACTGGACGCTCATCAAAAAACTTAGATACAGCTTTCTGATGCACCCATTCAACTGTTCCTTCTGGTATGTATTTCTCCCAGTTTACTTTCTTAGGGATATGTATGAATGTTAAGCAAAACTACAAAAGAAACGTACTGTAGGCCATTGAAGATTGTTGTTTAATCAAACTCAGTCAAAATAGTTATCTTAAATCCGCATGATAGAGTCAGAGAGTATTTTTGGAACAAAAATTTGTAATAAAAGTATAAAACACATAACCAAGAGAGTAGCACAGGCAATTAGGATATCTTTGATGTTAAAGTCAATGGCAAGACATGGCTCTATTTCCATCTGCAACAAGGAAAATCAAAATATAAATTACCTTAACATCATGTAATAGGTGCAGAAAAGTGAATTATATAAGCACAACAGCACTTAAAAAAAAAAAAAATAGTTTGAATAATAATTCAATAAAAAATCATGTGACTGAATGGAGTATAATTCAGCAGTTATCAACAAATTTTGCATCTAATTTGATCTTTTCAGCTTCTTCTTTAATTACTGAATTAGTGATTTATGGAGTAAAACTCTTAAACATTGATATTTGTTTTTTACTTTTGTTTTAAATTGAACATCATCATTTCGATTGTGAGCAATCTCAAAAGTAATGTCCACCATTTGTTGATTTCATATGGGATTAGGACTCCATAACTCACATTTACATTTTTTTTCTCTACATTGACATTAAATAATTATCATTTACTTATCTATTAAAAAACTCAAAGGCCAAGATTTCGACCGGGAATTTCAAAAGTTTTTTTGTATCACAAACAAATAAAAAAACGTTGGAATAATCTGAGTCGACCTTCTTTTTTTTTTTTTTTTAGACTAAAATTTCATGACTTCGGCTTTCTATTGATTTATTATTTAGAGTTAATATAGAACTAGGAAATCGAATGCCTTGCTCTTAGCTCTTATGATACGAGAACACGAAATCCTAGATTTAGCACCTGACACCACCTAGTAGGCTAGTACAACTTTCCCCACTTGGTACAAGTAAAACTACTTATTTTGAACTTTTTTTTAGAAATTTTTAGAAACAAGTATGAACTACAGTTAATTTCTGTAGAAATTTTTTGTCTTTAGAAAGTGCAGACTAAGCAGAAAATTGATAGGCAGCACAGCATGTGATCTAGCAATTTATGCATTACAAAATGAATGCTAAGCAGTGGAAATAAGTAAATAAATGAAAGAACACCAATTCACCAAAGAGAATTAAATCAAAATTACTAGAAGATAAAGTACCTCCCAACGTTGCTGGACAACCCCTTCTTGCCTCTTTTTTGAGCTCAAAATTCCAGTTGGTTTTAACCTGTAGTACAACAATAAACTAAAAATTTACCCAAGTGCTCAAAGTCCAGAAAGTTTAACCCTGGGTGAAAAAAATGCCACCTGGATCAGTAAAAGTAAGTGTTTGATTCTGTAATTAGTCAATCCAAACTTCTCATGTCACAATCCCCTATAAAGCTTAAAATGCAACAGAAGAAATCAAAACAAAATGAAGCATCTTACATAATATTCTCAGGTATATCCTTCAGGGAGAAGAAGGGTGGTACTAAAATCATCAGATCCTCTTGGTGAACATCCATATGACTGCTCTTCTCTACAAAGCAGAAACTCAAACAATCAAGTTATGCAAAAGAAGATCATTATTTAGCACAACAAATTTCTGAAGATAATGAAAACAAGTCTTAACCAAAATTTGGTTCCACTTCATCCCAATTTCTCTTCTTTCTTCTAGCAACATCAGCATGGACAGCAAGAACATGTTGATAATCTGCCATTCCTTCAGAACCAGAAAGAATACATATGCACCCAAAGTATACCAAAGGGAGCATAAATGTTATGTCAATGTTTTTAAAAAGCACAGATAAAGTAACCTAGGAATTTGCAGTCGTAACATAAAAGATAATTTCTAACCATTAAAATGGTAAGCTTCAGACACTTGAGCAACAATATCAGCAGAGAGGTGCTCTTGTAAAGCTTCCTCTATCGTCTCATCAACATCTTTACCATCAGCTGATAGAGTTTTAAATTCATTGCCTTGTTCGGAAGCTTTGGAAAATTCAGTATTTGGCTCAGCATGTGCAGTATTAGCCAAAGCCACTGAAGAACATTTTGATAATCTATTGTTGGTGTCTGTATTTTCAGCAGCACTAACTTTCTCTTTTGTTATTTTTAACAGAAAATTGACACTTTGCTTAAGCTTCCCAAAAGTAGGGTGTGAATAAGGATCTTCAGGTCGGAAACGAAGCTCCAACTTGTTTGACTGTGAACTGCGAGCCTAAAGTTGAATACAAATTCATCAATGATTCAGCTGTTTAAAAATCCCATTACCAGGGTCACTGTGCTGTGCTTGTGTGATCTGTTTCTGCTTATTGCTGTGATCACATTATAAGTACAGTCATAGCTACATTTACCTTTTAGTCTGTAATAAAACTTTACTTATAATAAGGGGGAAAGGAAGAAAGAGAGAGGGAGAAACCAAACTATGCAACCCAGAGAAAAAGCATGAGATTTTTTAAAAATTAACAGCATTCAATCTGTAAAAAATGACAAAAGATTCATAATTTCTTTAACTACAGGCATCCCTTCTGATACCACTTCATAGGTAGTTTTCACTCTTGTGCCAATCCAATGAATAATGAAGCTTCTATCTAAAGTTCAACTCATAAATTTGTATCACTAAGATGCTTCAATGAACTAAAAACAAAGTCAAAGATTGAAACTTTGAATCTGACTCTTTGGGGGAGGGAAAAAAATCATCATCACAGTAACAAATCATTGGACTTTGCTGCTTTCTTTTTCCTTTTTAGTCTAGCTTGTAAATGGCATCAACCCAATTGTAGCAGCAAAATAATCAGAATACATATATATCTATCATCCAAACGATGCCAATGTACAGAAGGCCAACAGAAAAAGAAAGTTATATGAACATAAATATAATTGCTATAAACAAACAACTCCTACTTAATAGCTGTGGATTAAAAAAAAAAAAAGTATACAGATATATGAAGATTGAAATTTTAGTCGGTTATAAACGACGAACCTTGACAATGGCTTCGGTGCCGCCGAGAGTCTCGACGGCGCGTTGGAGGGACGAAGGATAAGCAGGGTAGTGGACGACGAAGACATTGTCGCTATTGCTGCTGCTGCCGGTTCCGGGTAAAACTCCCGAAATCGACCCGTCTTTAATGATACCCATTATTTTTGCTTGCTTGCTTGTTGCTTCTCAGTTCTCTCTCCTTTCGCGCTATTCCTAGTGTGCACAGGATGGGTTCTTCTGTAAGAGGGAGAGAGAGAGAGTTAATATATATTTTTGATAAATTATTTTATTTTATTTTTATTTAAAAGGTAATTGGAATTATTTTTTTATTATAAATATTTGTTCATCTATCAATCTTCTAATTCGCTTGTTAACTGCTCCAAAATTATAAACTTTTTGCTGCATTGCTAAATAAATTTCTAATTTTGGGAGCAAAATTTCCATATTGCAATGGGGGAGATTTTTTCGTGATAATATCATGCAACTGATGATACTGCGCCGCGTTGTTAATCCGAAAATCTCTTCCACCCTCTCAGTTTTGGGCCTATCCGTTAAGGCTCTGCGGTTCACTGCACAATCTCCGACCGGGCGTTTCTTCAGGCCTCAGCAGCTGATCAGAAGCATGGCGTCGTCAACGGACAGCAGAAACAATGGAGGAGCGGCATCAGAACAGCCACTGAAGAATTCCTCATCAGCATCAAACCCTAAAGTTGATAGACTTCAAGGGGTTGTACACTCAGACTCCACTGGTAAAATTTCTGCTTTTGTTCCTTTTCAGCTTGCGAGAAAAAACTGTAACTTTATAAAATTTAGACACTTTTTTTTTAATTTAATACAAAAATATGAAATGAGTTAGATGGTTGGGAGAAATGCTGGGAACAAGGAGTGACGCCATGGGATTTGGGGAAGCCTACTCCTGTACTTGCTCATCTCCATAGGGCAGGTGAACTTCCCAAAGGCAGGGCGTTAATCCCTGGTTGTGGCAGTGTAAGTGTCTTTCAAAGCTTCAATGCTGCAATTTTGATTATAAATCAGGGCTTTCTATGTGTATATGTATTGTACAATTTACAATTTACACTATGCACTAATCATCTCAAGTAGTAAGTTAGTAACAGTGTCAGCTTCAATTCCTGACATGGTGCCATATGGCATCCTAGGGAAACAAGGGCTTAGTGCATACTTCCATTAGGATTTAAGTTAGAATTCTAGTGGGGAAGAGAATCAGGTATATAAATACACGTCTAATAATGGCAACTTATCTTGGGATATAAGCATATAACCATGGATAATCAACAATTTCATTGGAGTCTGGCACCAAGAACCTATTGTCTGTTTTCTCAGCTATCAATAATGGGCTTGTATGGAGAGACATATTTACATTATCCCACACTAATAAATTGGTCATCTCTTCATCATGCGTAGTTTTACAATAACTTTTTCGGCAGCACATTTCCTTTAAATAAAAAGTGACGTTGTTTGGGAACAATTTGAATTGGTTCAATTAATTTGTGGGACAGGGTCATGATGTGGTGGAAATTGCATGCCCTGAGCGCTATGTTATTGGCTTGGACATATCAGAAAATGCTATTAGAAAAGCTAAGGAGGTAAGGGTTTATATTATTATGGTCACTTTGATCTTGTACAATAAACCTCATCAAGAGGTAAGACTTGTAGTTTAGTTGGTTTAAACTGTTAACGATTTCATAACTTAAAATGTCTCTTCATCTGTATTCCTCTGTTTATAAATAACACTTTCTTATTCTGATTCATTTCTTGAAACTTTCTACATAATATTCTGCACATCGGAGCAGCTGTCTTTATCATCTCCAAATGCAGATTGTTTTGCTTTCCTGAAGGCAGATTTTTTCAGTTGGCATCCTGTTGAGTTGTTTGATCTTGTTTTTGACTACACGTAAGTTTGTCATATGTACGAGATTATTCTTCTTACTGTAAATCCCATTTTTTGGGTAATACATCGTTTCTTAACTTTTGCAGGTTCTTTTGTGCCATTGAACCCGAGATGAGACAAGCTTGGGCCAGCAAAATTCAAGATCTTTTGAAACCAGATGGGGAGCTCATAACACTGATTTTTCCAGTCTGCAGAGCTCTTTCTTTTCTTCTTTTCTTTTTTTTTACCACCTCTTCTTTGCCTGCCCTTCTCTCCCATCACATGCTCCCCACAGTGCAAATGAAATTTTGTTGGTAGCAAAATATGAAGCGATATTTATATGATTAAAACATACAGATTTTATTTCTGAGGTTGTGCCATTTAAATAAAGCAGCCCGCCAACCACTAGTCTAAAGACTAGCTATTATTCTTTCTTTTCAATTTTCTCATTTGTTTTCTTGTTTTTTCTCCTTTTGTAGATTAGTGATCATGCGGGAGGCCCACCGTATAAAGTATCAGTCTCTGAGTAAAGTCTCTATTCTGTTTTTAACTTCATTCTATATTATGTTGTCCTTGGAGTTAAATAAGTACTGCCTACACATGACCGTTAATCTCTGACCACTAATTGGAAGTCCTTTGTCTAGCTATGAAGAAGTTCTGCATCCACTGGGGTTCAAGGCAGTTTACCTTTCAGACAATGAGCTGGCCGTTGGTCCTCGGAAAGTGAGTGGATTTTTTCAAAGATCAAACTTTTACTTGCATATTTTCTTTGCATTAGTTTTGACATAATGTCAAAACTATTTGCTTAAGTACAAAATAATTTTACGACAGAAGTGTTTAAGCCCTGAAAATTTGTTTCTCAACTTAATTTGATAAGCTCCTTAAAGTGTCTTATAAAATTCAACTTAAAACAAGCCATAAGCTATTTTCATTAGGCCATCAAACAGAGTAAAATTTGAATTTAAGTGCTTGTATGGGTAGTTAATCCCGAATAAGTTCATCCTATCCAGGCTTTATAACGCTGTTTGTCATTTTAAATAAAATTTAATTCCATCAACTTTGTGCATATCTGAACTGATACATGTCATTTGCGTATGTAAGAATGAAACTCCTATGAGACAATGAATCTCTCCCTCTCTTGGATTCGGTTTTATTACTTTTATTGATTGATGTCTCTGCAGGGAAAGGAGAAGCTGGGGAGGTGGAAAAGGTCAATATGCCAATCTTCACTATGATTGTTGCTCAATCACTTCTGGGGATTGGAGAATTATGCTTTTCTTTTTTTATGTTAAAGTAGAACTTCACTATTGAAATGTACCATAGAACACAGGAAATTAAAACAGTGTCATCTGTTGTTATCTTAAGGCATTTCTTGAAACATACAAAAAAATAAAATAAAATAAAATAAACTTTTGCTTTTGGAGTATCAAGTGTTTGGTGCTTGTTATCTGAATCTTATTGGTGTAATTTTGAGAGCAATGCTTTTCACAACTGCCAGAAATTGGTTTCCTTGTATGTAAATGTGATCAATAGACATATCTCGATGTTGTAGAGATTGTTAGGCGCTAATTAGGAATGCCCAACTAAAAAAGATGTGATTTTTTATGCTTCTAGCAAGTATTTGGCACACTTTCCCATTCTACCCTTCAGCCTAGGCGGCGGCGGTCTAAGCGGATTTTTCCCATTCTACCCTTCAGCCTAGGTGGCAGTTTAAGCTGATTTTTACAACACTACGACATCAAAACCTGAACAGCATCATCAGGTTACAAGTGAAATCCCCAAAGCATAGAAAGAGAGCAGGAACTTAACAAATATAGGACTATTATTATTAATTACAGCAACTATAATGTTGCCATCCTACAATTTTATCTCAGAAATTCACAACATATTCGCACTTTGTTGTTACTAGAATAGCAACCTGGTATTTGCAGCCATGGGGTCAGCTCGTCCTCAACCGACAATGGGAGAACAAGTTTTAGAGGAAAGCCTTCATCTTGGATACAGCATGAACCAACTGCAAATGCCATCATCCATTGATTGTGCACATATACAATGTATGCTCTTTACAAGGCTTTAATGTTGTTCGTCCTAGAATGAATCATAGCCCCTTATCGTGGTTTTCTCTATGCTTTCCAATTCGGTTTGTTTCTACACTGCATACATCCTCTTGTAGCTTTCATTATACAGCTCTGAATCTGATGGCACCATTGACATTGAAAATGAACGAGACAGCGTCTCAGCTTTCCTTATATTCCTCATCCTCGATTCCTCCAACCTATGACGAACTACACAGTAGCACATGGAGCCAATAGTAGTTAGCATTATCACTCCACCCACGACGGTTGAATAGATAGCAAGCCATTGCTCCCGAGTTCCAACCACCACATAAGTAAGCGAAATGAAGGCAATCGAGATGAAGAGGCAAGCCCCCCACATGAGCTTGTTTATAATGAAGACCATCTGCTTCTTCGCCTTTTGTTCTATCACAACCACAGACGTCTGGACAACCACAACAGCTATGGAGATGAATAACGCGAGGCTGTCAAACAAGAAGAAGACTATGAAAGCTGCTTTATTTGCTACGTTGGCTTCACCGAGAGTAAACCCTTTCTTTTCCTTTTCAACGTATTGCCCTGGCACAGTGAAGATGGCGGCAAAAGCAACAGTAGCAATAAGGACGGCGACAACTGTGAGAGAGTTGATGGCGTTGTTAAGGCCACTAATATGAAGCTTCTTCACCTTCTTCGCTATTTTTCTGACCTTGAACCCAGTTTGTCGGCTCTGTTGAAGCTGGGACTCAACATCATGCTTTATATCGCTCACCGTCTGCTTGAGTTGCTTTGCAGCACTTGGAGGCTTCCCGTGGTCTTTGGAATGGGTAGCTCCAGCCTCCTTTAACATAGTCACGACATCTGGAGTTCCAAACTTTTCCGCAATGTCAAGGGCAGTTTCTCCAGCCTTGTTAACTGTGTTGATGTTGATGCCCTCAATGGATATTAAGCGTTGAACCATCTGTCATGTAAATAACATTGTATCAGACAGAAATCAACTTTGGGACTTTTAGCTACTTATAAACAACATAAACTTACAATTATTGCAGACCCGGAATGTAAATCTGTATTCTTGCTCAAAAAAATTCAAACTTTGATGAGAATAATAATAATTATATACGATTACGAACCTGAGGGCGTCCCTTCCTTGTTGCAATATGGAGTGCGGTGTTTCCCTTGTTATCTCCTAATGCTAGTACACTTGGATCTGGTTTGATTAATTCAAGCACAATATCCACATTTTGCCCCTTCACCGCCATGTGCAATGCAGTTTGGCCTTTCTTGTCTGTCCTAAACCCAATACTGGGGTCCTTGTTTACAAGCGATTTCACCACTTCCAAATGGCCCATTCTTGCGGCTGTATGGAGTACAGTCTTACCATTGTTCCGAGCTATCTTAGCAAGGTTTGAATCAATTTCAAGAAGCAAATCAACTACATCAACGTGCCCTTGACCAGCAGCCGTGTGTAGGGCTGTAGAATTGGATGAATCCGTAGTCATCACTAAGTTAGGGAAAACATTCAAGAGTTCCTTGAGAACTTCTGCAAATTTCAGGGCAAAAGAACAATATCTTAGCATATATACAAGGTGACTTTAGATTTACGGGAAGTTTCTCTTTATTTAGCATCGTGATCTAATCCTGGATTACCCAACCACAACTAGTATTATAGTATAAGCCAAGTAAGTTGAGCATTCCCAGATCCTTAACACAAAACACAAACTGAATTTAACAGTAAGTGAATCACCAGTTCTAAATGCCAATCTTGAAATAAAATAAAGGGACACACAAAGAGAGATGCAGAAAACTCACCAAGATGGCCCTGCTTGGCTGCAATATGGAATGCATCATATCCATTGTTAGAGGCAATAGAGGCGGTTTCAAGGTCTAGCTGCTTCAAGATTTCTCCGACAACCAAGGTGTGCCCATTCTCAGCAGCGACATAAAGAGCAGTCTCACCTTCTTGGTTCTGCTTTGATAGCGTATCCTTGATGGCTTTACTGTCAAACCTCTGTAAAATTTCCCTCACCTTACTTAGATTCCCTGCTCGTGCAGCAAGGTGAAGCGGGTTATCGCCTCGTTTCCCAGGTGAATCCTTGCCCCTTTTCCTCTCACCACCAAAGCTCAGCTGCCTCTCCATTGCTATCCTAAAGCTTTTCTGCTTTTCCATCAGTCCTTTGAAACTCTTTTGCTTTTCCATATTTCGAAAGCTTTGCTGTTTCTCCATCACCCCACGAAAACTAGCCTGTTTTTCCATTATTCAACCTCACAAACTATCTCTCTCTCTCCCTCACCTCCTATAAATCCAAACCCTTCAGAGAAGCACTTACTTATCCCCAAATCCACCAAACTTTCAAGAACTTGGGGAGCCAGCAACTATACTTTCAATAACTTGAAGACCAGAAATTTTTCATCATCATCAGATTAATATTTCAACATCATCACTTATCACTTTATCATCTCAATTTTTCAGATAACAACTCCAACCCAAAATCAAGAGATTAAAATTCACGACTTTCCGTAGGTTTAAACCAAAAAAGTCAAAATCTGCAGTGAACAGTCGCTTTCATCTGCTCCGAGTTAGATGAATTGAATCCAAACAAGCAACCTTTTTGGGGAAAAATAGGGAAAAAGAGATAAAAGGTACCTTGAAATGATATAGAGATCAAAACTCTGCCTCTATAACAGAAAAACAACCATTCCCCAGTGAAATTCCCAGAAATAGAAGAATACCCAGTGCTCCAAACTAGAAGAATTCACTGCAAAGATGCAAACTTTAATCAACTTAATAGTTTTCCAGGCGAAACCCAGAAGCTGAAACTCAATAAACTCTGTCCCCAGAGATTCCCTTGTCAAAAAGGCTGTGAAACACGGGGATGGCCACTTGGTTCAAATCTGGGGAGACCCAAAAAAGATCAAGAACACAGAGACCACCACCATGTCTTACGATATAGTCAAGAAAGAGTGCCTAACTACGTATATATTACTGTAATAAGATTTCGGAAATATTTAAAACACAAAAACTTTTATGGTACCGAGTAGCAGGCACTGAATGAAATGTTTCTTTGTCTTCTGCCCGGCTGCATTTTTATAAAAATACCATCTCCACAGGCGCATAGCCGTGTATCAACAAAGATTTTCACTTTTTTTTTTTGTTTTCTTGTGTATTAATTATTAAAATGTGAATAATAAGGGGGTAGACGATAGTATAAAAAGAATTTCTTTTTTAAATAAGGGTATTTGTTAGTGCAAAATGCAGGCCGCCATTGACGTAACATCAATGGGCACTACGGGACAAAGAGATGGAGAGTCAGTGATAAGGCGGGGGCCAATGGCATATTCGTCAAATTTTGGTCATCTATACAAATCATGGCGGTGGGGCCCACCGCCATGTGATAATAATGAACGGTAATTTTGAAGGAATAATCAAAAGTGATTAGCATCTTTGAATAATAAAAATAATCGGCCACTAATTTTACTCCGATCAAATATATATTTTTTTTTTAGTATTTCCGACTCTGTTACAATGTAGGATATGTTATAATTATTATGTATGTTACCTGAAATAAAATAAATATTTGTGATATTTACAATTTTCATACTTAATTATGAAGTAATTATTACTTTCGTCGTTTTTATTTGTACTTATATTTTCTTTAAATTTTTAATTAGGTTGTTTTTTTTATAAATTATTTGGTAATTGTTATTTTTGTTTATAATTACTAAACAATACGCTATAGTACCATGTTAAGATTTATTTTTTCTCTCCAAAACATTTTAATTTGTTACAACTTTTCACACTTGCATTGCGAATCTTTAATTTCAAAATTTAAAGACAAAACAATATAATTTCATGACATTTTGACACTCAAAATTTAAGGTGAAACAACTAAATTCTCTTACATTTTACACTTCAAACTAGTATAAAATGGCAAGAAATTTATTTACTTTCTCATCAAATTGTTGGATTAAAGATTCATGATGCATATATATGTTGAGAGTTGTAACCAATTAAAATATTTTGGAGTAAATAATAATATTAATACTTAATAGATAGTATTGTCACTTTGTCAAAGAATTATGGGCGAACATAACAATTATCTAAAAACTAAGGGAAAATGAACAATCTTGATAACAACTTAAAGATTAAATATTTGCTTGATCAATAACTAAAAATGAAAATAACAATTAACCAAATTTTTAAATACAAAATTACAAATTTCTCTAAATACCTTAACGTTCATCCATACATGATTATCATGTTTACACAACAAGAAAATGAAAAATGTTATGGTACCCTTATTACTCATATAAAACTGTATTTTTTTAGAGCTAAAAATTAGAAATAAATTAAATAATACGTTTGCTCCGGTGATGTTATAACTTTATTTCTTAATTTGTTTCAAAGGGGATTTTTCCCCCCCATTTGGATAACAAAAATAATTGCTTGGGAATGTTGCAATTTTGATCTCCAAAATTAAGTTGAGAATGAAAATAGTCATTTTGGTGTTCGCACATACAACTCAATTGATTTTAGGCGATTAGTTGTAGATAATGATACATGATCGAACTTTGATAGTTCAATTACACTACTCCTCTCACCTAATAAATTATTTAAGTTATCATAATTTATATTTTTATTATCGATCATGTCGAGTCGGGGGCTCCGAGAAAATTATTTTGTGGACAAAATAATTATTTTGGTTACTAATTAAAGAGCACATTTGTAGCCGCATATATTATTTAAAAAGTAAAAGTGTAGTTGTCTCTTTAATTAAGTGTATGGCTGAATTAATGATGGTTAATCATCGCTCGGAAGTGATGTTTGACAATGGTATTTTATTTTTATTATTATAAATAAATAAATGTGTAACCATTTGGGTTTGGTTCATGGACGTGCATAATTGGATAGATTCAAATATTGACTATTGAATAATAGTTTCTTTCGCTATTGCATATTGGTTTTGTCTAGAAACAATATTATAAATAAGACGAAGGCAATGTTCGATAATATAGTTAGTTTATCAGTTAAGTTTGATTTATATTATCATTATTAATTGTTTGAATTGGTTAAATAATTAATATAAATGTTTGGTTAATTAGTTTATTGTATCAAAACACTAAAATTCAAAAAGATACTCATAACAACTTTTTAATTAGTTTTTTGAGAAAGTCATTTTGCATGGAATCAGTTATTAGCTAACAGTTAATTTATCAACAATTTTCTACAATCAACTAGTCAAACCCACTAATTCAATAAAAACGAATCGCTATCATCTAACAACTATTTACCAAACACACTCAAAATTAAAAATAAAAAAAAAATAAACAAATAAAAATTTGCACAATGATTCTTTAATATTTAATTAAAAACCACATAGATTATGATATACTCCATATTTTAAATAAGGAAGATGTCCTAATTAATTTATGTTTTTATACTCACAACAAGAGTTATCTAAATGGTTGTGAGTCCACTTTTAATATTTTTTTTTATTCAGAACATTTCCTTTTAGTCATAGTATTATTATGGCACGATCATTTTTAATCATCTATCAACAAAATAGTTTAATTATCGTTAAATACAAAGACATTTCGGTATTCACTCATTGATTTTTTTTTTCAAAAAAAATAAACATAAAAAATTTAGCGGGTCAATTTACTTTGTATTAAAAAAAAATCGAAATGTCCTTATATTTAACGACATCTCAACGATTTTGTTAACGAAATACGGAAAATGGTCATGCCACAAGTCCACAACAATAATACTATGATCAAATGATGATTTTTTTTATTTTTTAAAAAAAAAAAGAATAAATATTATCTGTAAAATTATGACCAAAAATGAAATTAACTCTTCACAACAATTATACATTGATCAAATACTACATCCCGTGTTTAATAATTATCTAAGGCTATCATTATCTCTACAATACTCTCTCACTTTCAAAAGTGGAATCCTACTTCCACATCACTCAATTTGCAACCCATTTAGTATTCACACTATATCCTGCAAATTCAATCAACTTTCAAAAATTGACCTAATCTCACATCACTTTAAAAAATTAATATCTTTTTTAATAAATATTATTTTCTCTTCAAAATTATTAATTTATAGCAATATATAATTTACATTTACATATACAAATAACAAAAACTGGAAATCCAAAAACATAATTTTTTTTTTATATAAGTTACTTTTAAATATTAAAAATAGCAATAATGAAAATCTAAACATGTTCTTTTTAAAAAATAATTTAAAAAATTATTCGTATTATGTATATAACCGAATGCAAATTAAACTATAATTTTTTTTTTATTTAACATACTTTGTGTTATTAAATTGAATTGCAATTTGAATTGTAAAAATTAAAATAAATTAAAATTTTTAAAATAAGTTAGTTACATACCAATTTTTTTTAAAAAAAAAAAAAACACTGACCAAAATTTGTTATATATATATATATATATATATATATATATATATACTTTGAATTTGTTTTTTATTGTACACGTGATTAGCAAGTTTGCATCTGTTACAAGCTTGCTAATGACATCTTTTGGTGTCAAATGACAGCAAAAAACTGCCCCACGTGTACTTTTATATTTTTTGTTAAGACTTAATGTTATATATATATATATATATATATATATATATATATATATTGCAGTTTTTTGCTGTCATTTGACACCAAAAGATGTCATTAGCAAGCTTGTAACAGATGCAAACTTGCTAATCACGTGTACAATAAAAAAATATTTTTTTTTTCCACATCATTTAGCAAGGGCAGGGTGTATTGACTGGGATAAAGAGAACCTAAATACTTTGAATTTAGTAATTTCAAATTTTCACATCGAATGTAAATATATTCTTTTTAACTGTAAAAACTCATAGAAAATTCCAAACCCGCCATGAATCTATGATTCATGGATAACCAAAACAAGGCAGCTGAGTACTTAGATATGTTACAGACCAATATAAATTAGCATAGTATGGTTATATAGGTTTTTTTTTTTTTGTTTTTTTTTTTTTAAATATTAAAATAGGGTAAAAGGTCTAATCACATTTCTAGTTCCTCCATTATTAGTTTGTATGCAATTTAATCAATGTGATTCTCAATTATATTTTGAATGCTACTGACTCTATTGAAGCACAAAGAGTCAACAATGCCTCCATTGAGACTCAATCTAATGACCTGACCTCCTGTATGTGAGAGTCACTACATGTCATCTAAGCACAAGGTGCTTGACTACTGTGTTGTAAATCTTATTCCTCAAGATATATATATATATATATATATATATATATATATATATAATTTAGTCCATAAATTATTTATTTACTTATATAAGTCTAATTTAAAAAATAAAATAAAATTGAGAGACTAAATCAATAATTGGAATAATGCTCAAAGTATGAGCTAATAACTTATTAGCTCATACTTTAGCTACTTCAGCCTTTACGCTTCCTTCGGCAATGTACTGGGACGATGTCCCACCTGACTCTATTTCAGTTTATCTATAAATACAACCCATTGGTTGACTTTCAAAAAAAAAAAAAAAAAGTCACTAAACTACACATAGATATGCAATTGGATCATTAAAAAAAAAAAAAAAAAAACTATAATTGGTTCACTAAACAACTCAAAACTATGCAATTAAACCAAAATTGATATGTTTGACTGGTCAATATTGACACATGGTGGTTGCTTTATTAAAAATTAATTTTTATAAAAAAAATTTATGCCTCGTCTCCCGTTGGAGACGAAGAATGGTCTTCGTTTCTAGCTTGGGAGACGAAAAATGGTCTTCGTCTCCAAATGGCTTTCATCTCCGATCCCGAAAGAAAGGGCCTTTCTTCATCTCCGGTTGGAGATTATGGTGGCGACTGTAGGTTTTTTTTTATTATTTTAATTTACACCTATTTTAAAATTATTTTTAATAGATTAATCCAATGGTAATATTGACCAGTCAAACATGTTAATTTAGTTTATTAATTGCATAATTTTGAGTTGTTCTATGATTCAATAATAATTTTTTGAGTTTGATGACTCAATTACATTTTTGTGTGTAATTGAGTTTGATGACTCAATTATATTTTTGTGGTTTTCA